CTGCGGGGTATTTTAAGAAACATGGGGGTAAACTGTGCTAGGTAAACTGTTCTGATGTGCTAGGAGGCAGAGTGGAAGAGTCTGTGTTTGGAGAAGCCCTTCCACGCCATCTCTCCTGTTTGTGATTTCCATCCTGACTCAAGCACACCCCACAGTCTGCCATCGGCTGCTGTTGTTTTTTTTTAATTGCCCCCTGTCTCTACCTCCTCACAGTCCTGTTTTTTCCTCTTCCTTCTTAGCACCTTGTTAGCACCTATTTTTTTTTTTTTCCTGCAAGAATACAGTTACCTGATTGCTTCAATAAACATCTCCATTGTCCCCTTTACTGTTCTGAGGAGAGAAGCTTTGTTCCCTGAGTTGTCAAAACTCTGTTCTATTCTCTCCCAAAGCAGAACAGCTCAGAATCTTTCTCTTTCCTGCCAGGCAGCCCTTCCTCCCTGGGGAGGCTGCCTCTCTCCTCTGGGGAGTGGGCTCTGGTCTAGCGGCACGTGCAGCCTGCTGCTCTCAGCTTTCTTGATTAGGCAGGACTTTCTCCTGCTGCTGCTGCTGCCTCTCCAGCTGCTGCTGTTGCTGCTGCTTCTGCTCGGGCCTTGGGAGGCTTTCAAGTGGCTCCAGATAGCAGAGGTATGCACATTGGTCTGGGAAGGCGGGGTGCCAACTCTCAGTGGCTCCAGCCAAACGCAGCTAACAGACAGGAACAGCAAACAGATTTTAACAGGGGCACCTACGAAAGGCAATGGTTTTGCCCCCCCCCCCCCAATTTCTTTTCCTTTTTGTGTACCTTCAAAGATTTGGATTAGAAAACCTAAACCGGTTGGCAGGAGCTCTGAATTTCCCTGTGACCTCAGGAGGGCAAGCAGCAGCTGTAACCTCACCTTTGCCTCCAGATGGCATTGTTGCCACATCATCGCTTCCTGGTAGGCCGGTCCTTATCCCATTGTTAAAGGTGTGTCCATCTGCCGGCTGCAGTTGCCAATTGAGTCCGAGCAGATGCATTGCTGCAGGAGAGACAAAGTAATGAAAATATGAATAGATAATTCAGCAATGCAAATGTCAAGGGGGGAGGGCCAGGTGCCTCTTCCAAGCAATTGCCTTTTAAGGAAGCTGCACTTCAAAAAACAAAAAAACCCAAAAACAACATCAACAAAAAAACCCCAGTTTACCCCAGGCCCCAGGGATTAGCTAAATACAGAAAGGGAGGAGATCCGGGTGATTAGGTCTCCTCTCCCTGTGCTGCTGTTCACCACCATTGGTGAGAGGATCGCCAAGGTGGGGAGAAGAGGAGGGGGAATCAGAGTTCAGGCTTCTCTACCATGGAGGAGAAAATGTCCCTCTGGAATCGCTGTAAAGAATACTGCTCCATCACATCCAACCTCTCCCACACTGTGGATGCAGCTGTTTTTAGACTGAGGGTCCAAGGGCGTTGACAAGGATAATTTCCCCCAAACTACTCAAAACAGTCAGTGTCGAAACAAGGCTCCCCAGATGGGATGGTCTGCTGCTGAGACTGTAGTTGCACTAAAACAGCAATGCAGCAAGTATTGCCCACAGCTGGACTGGCCCCTGTAAGCTCACCATTCTAGTTCAAGCTCTCAAACTGCCTTTCCTTTCCACCTCTCTTCCTGCTAAGTGGGTACCTTTCAGCCCACTGTAGAAAAAGCTCAGGGGTGGTTGTAGAGTGGGGTCCTTTCACAAAAATACTGTGATGATTCCCTCTCACACCCTACACCCGCACCCACGCTTTCCCACGGGGACAGAGGGAGCCGGAGTGCCAAGGTGCTATCTTTGCTAATGAGACAAACATGTTTGTAGGACTCTTGCTTTATTTCCATGTGTACTGCAAACCTTCAACACAAACTTCCTTCCTTCCCTCCTGTCTTTCTTGTCACCCTGTGCCAGCTCACCACTTCCCAGGTGGTTTCTCAAGCTCAAATCACCCCATCTTCCATGGTTCTGGGGGAGTTGTTTTTGCTACGTGGAATGAAAGGCAAATCCCAAACACCTGTATTCTTTCAAAGTCCCCCATCTAAGAAATGCTTCATTTGCAGATAAATAAGGAGTACACTCCCCTGCATACTGCCCATTCAAACAATAACCACACTGTGTCTGTCTGGCATTTCAACCGGACATAGGTTGATGCTGTTGCTAGGGTTCCAGCGCTGCAGGAGAGAAAGGGCTGTTGACAGGGAAAGGTTCAGGGCATGATGTGGGATGGGAGAAACAATTAACCACAGGAAACGCAATTAACAATGCTTAGGAAATTGTTCACATGGCAATTAATTCTGCATGCCTACCACCACTTAAAGTCAGGCTGCATTCTATTAAGGTTAAAAACCTATCTTCAAACAATACAGCTCAGATTGATGGCCGCAGATTAATGTGCCAAGGTGTCCCTGTGTGTATATCTGCTTTTTAATTTAATTTTATTTTTTTGCACACTTCCCCATTTCAGAGCCATGTTTTTTTTCCCCCTATACATTACTTTGAAGTGTAAGGCAACTCTTTGAGATGATAAATACTAATAAGTGACATTTACTATACACTTTCTGTCAAGGTAACACCTAATTCTCTCCTGCAGTTTATCCGTTATATGTAGGTCACTCACTTGAAGAGACCGGATTCTATTGCCTCAAATAATGACATATTTTCACTGTACAGAGGTCAGGAAATGAGAACTAATCGTGGCTGCTTCGAGATAACGATAGCTTCTGATTTGTAATTACTAGGTGAAAGGGAGCCAAGGAATTATCTATTTTAAAATGATTTTTTTTTTTTTTTTTTTAATGCTGCTCTTGGGTCTTGGGACTTGCCTTGAGCCTGCTTGCTGCTGCAGTGGAGGTGTGGTTCCCTCATGAAGGGTCTCCCTGCGTTTTAAGATATACACAGACCAGTACTGCAGGTGCAGCTGGGCTCAGGCCTAACAAAGCTTTGAGTTTCTCATCTAGAGAAGGAAGCTGTCATTCAGGCAAGAATGACAATCTGCCCAACGCCCCATCAGTGTGAATCTCTTTTCAAAGCTGTTCCCCTCTTTGGAAACCCAGTCTTGGCACTCCAAGATGAGGAACATACTGCAACCATCAACTTCAACTTCGAGAGAACAGCAAGCAGACAATACCCTAATCTTCTTGTGCATAAGGAGGGCATTCATGAAACTAAGTTCTGTTTGCAGAAACGCTCACCCCTCCCTTTTTGTTTCGGGTTACATAGCATCTTTTTATTAAAAAAAAAAAAGAAAAGTATTCTGAAAACAAGAAGATGAGAGATGGGGTGAGAAGGGTTAGGGTCAGAGGAGACAAGTAACTGCTCAGACAACTCCCAGAAGTGAAAAGAAAATAAGAAAGTGAGATGGAGACAGGCAAAGGGGAAGAGCCAAATCTGCTGAGTGTAAGCTCTGTCATCCCAGCAGAAGCGAGGCAAAAAAATGAAACTCAAGTTTGGGCATATTTTCTGTTGTTGAACTGAACGTTAAGCAAATAAGTGAGAATTATATCAGGGGTATAACCACCTTCTTTTGTTTTTTGGGAGGGATGCTGAAATAGGCTTTTGTTTGTACTTTGTTTTTTTTTTTTTCTTGGTCAGCTATTCCGTCTCTCTTACTTGAGTAAGAAAATGAGAGTATCTTTCTGGCCTATGGGGATGGACTAAAGTGTCCTTAGGATAAAGAAGACCCAGGAGAGCTGTGAAGTAAATGAGTTTCCTGACTAATGAGAACTCTGTTTCTTATTCTGCTACTGATTTGCTATATGGCTGGGGCTGAGAAATCCACGTCTCCATCAATCTCTCTCTTCACCTTCTGAAAGTATTTCCCTTTACAGGTAGAATAATGGCTGCTGAGGGCTTGAGACAGGTCAAGTGTCCACAACACCCTCGAAGATCTAGCAGAATGTCTTGAATATAGAAGGCATTCCATCCATAAATGTTTACCAGAATAGATAATGACATATGGAGTTAGATATGAGGGGCTGGATTGTAGGACATTATACTCTCACAAATCAAACATATGTAATAGAGAGGCGTGAAGGGTGGACTACAACAGTGCTGGCAGCAATAGGGACAAGACTACAAAGAGAAGCTATTTTGGGTACTAGTGTTATCAGTACCTGCTGCCAGTCCTTGAACCCCTTCTATGGCCAGCACTTTAGGAGCCATTCTACAGATATTACCTTAAGATGTATGACTCGCATCTCTGGTTGGTACTATCCCCATCCCCATTTCATAGACAAAGAAACTACTGACTATGAAGTTTGATCACTGGGGGATTTCACAATCAGAGGAAGATAACAGTGGAAGTGGCTATCTGCTTCATATTTCATAGTGATTTGGGTACAAATTATGGTTTGCAATGGAATCTCAGCAAACCTGGTCTTTTGCTCGAAACTCATGATAATCTCACTGTGGTTGACGAATGACCATTTTCCATATTCAGCACCTCTTCCTGAAGGGGTGATATCTCCTGTCTTGCTGAATTCAGATATGGCCACATGACCTGGCAGCACACACTTTGTATACCTTTTTTCCTTCTGCCACGTGGTCAACTTGGGTCTTGAGGAACAATAACATGGCTCAGACCCACGGCTGATGAGTGGGAGAATACAGAATGAATAAACTGTTACTGTTATAAACTGCTGAGAGTTTGGGGTTCTTTGTTTTAACAGCATGCCTGAGACTTCCCTAACTGATAGGTTCGCTTACAGCAGCCCCAACTCTTCCATGGGGCATATGTTCGAAGACTTGCCCTCCTGGTGGATGCCTTAAACTGCAGAATAGTACTGAACCCTATGTACACTATGCTTTTTCCTGTACATATATGCATATGATAAAGTTAAACTTATAAATAAGGCACAGTAAGAGATTACAATAATGACTAATAATAAAATAATTATAAAAATATACTCTAATAAAATTTACGTGAACGTGGTCTCCCTCTTTCTCAAAGTATCTTCATCTTGTGCTGCTGTGAGACAATAAAATGTCTATGTGATAAAATGAAGTGAGGGGAATAATGCAGGCATTGTGACCACAGTGTTAGGCTCCTGCTGACCATCTGACCATATGTCAGAAGGAGGATGGTCTGCTTACTGCGGTTGGCCATGGGTAACTGAGGCTCAGAAGGCAAAACTGAAGATAAGGGGGGCTGCCATGTAAGTAAACTAAGATACTCCATTTTTATACAACAAGGCTCTGTGCATTCCTTAAAGTTATTTATTTATTGAGTCAGGATCCTTTCTAAAACCCAGCCAGGAAAAGTTAGGACTACTACATACTTAAGGCCACCAACCACAAAAATAGCTCTTTAAATATTATGTCATAGTATATCCAGCTGTGATGCACTCTAATTTGGACTTAGAAAGTCTCAAGACTTTGTGTGAACACTGGCATCATCAACTTACATTTTCTCCAACAAGACATCCTGGATGCAGTGGGGTGGTCCCCTCTCTCACTCTCCACAAATGCTCTAGCAGCTCATCCCAAAAGGTCCTGTTCAGACCATCCTAGGGTCAGAAGTGAAATGAGTTTGGGAGGTCCTCTCCCTAATGTGACTCACCCCTGTCGGCAGCCAAAATGCACAATTTATCATGACTTGACAGGCTCTGCTCCAGGGAGACCCTCAGATGGAACAGTGGGGCTCCATGGGTCAGCAAGGATGGAACAGGGAAAGGTTCCAAGTGGAAGTTCATGTAATCCAGGTGGCAGCTGGGAAATCAGCCACTAAAAACACAATAAGCAGCCAAACTCTGAAAGTATCTCCCTGGCTAATTGGAGAAAACTTTCACCAAGAGCTGAAAGTGAACCAAAGCAGGATGAATAGACCACACACAGATTCCAGATTTCAGCAAGAATAATAAACAGACCTACTTGGAGTTAGGGTGATAGTTCCTTAGCGGAGTTGCCTGTTTTTGTGCCACATGGGCTCTAAAAGAAATACTCAGAGGTAACCAAGTGAAGATTAAGGGAGAGGGGTTGGTTGCAGGTAACAGAATTCCCCAGCAACTGCAAGGACAGGAGATGTAGGCCTTGAAAAGTGGCAGCATAGAATGGGGGTTGTCTGAAATAGTAATTAGGGTATGTGTGGGTCCTGCTGGGTGCCACTTAGAACCTTCCATGTTCATTGGCTGGCAGAGGATCAACCTGACAAGAGAGTCAATCAATATGTCAGCAGCGCTTCTCAGAGAGCTGCTCAGCCCCTGCTTGTCAAGGAGGGCAAACACGGGGGCCACGGATGCTCTGTGTTTGCTGAGCAGGCCTCCAGGAGCAGGGGGTATCTTTAAAGATCAGGCTTGTCGATACATAACCGGAGGAAGAGATTGGGCTTTCCCTTTGAAAATGGAAGGCTTGAGGCCAAGCAGAGCTTAGGAAGTGGGAGGAGGGAGGCTTGCCTGCTGGGTCTTATAGCTCAGCATGCGGTCAGATTCACAAGGGCCTTAGAGATGATGGCAAAGCTCCTTCAGAGACCAGGTAGGCTAGGACTCCCTGCCCCTCCCCCGCCCCAACCGCATCAGCCAATTTAGTCGACGATGCCAGGACTCCTGTGGGAAGTGTAGCCAATTCCCCAAGTGCCACTGCTGAGAGGAGAGAACCACAGCAGAATAATCAGGGCTCAAATGCACAAACACTAACCCTGAACTTGCACAGGGAATCTGCAAAGGCACTTTTGTAAGCTGTAGTCAAAATTAACACATGCAGATGAGCCTGCTCCATGAGGATGTTGACAATTAACAATTATTTTGGCAATGCACCAGGTACTGGGCTAATTATGTTAACTGCATCATTTTATTCATTACTTTATCATTCAGCAAATATTTATGGAGCACCTACTATGTGTTAGGTGTGTTCTAGGCTCCAGGAATAAAGAAGTTGACAGAAGGAGTTCCTTGCTCTCATGGAACTTACATTCTAGCGGGATACATAGAAACTAAACACACACAAATGAAAAGTAGAGGATGAATAGGGTTGGAGATGCCAGGGCCTGGGGGTGAGTAATTCAGTTTTTTCTTCAGATGTAGACCAGTCAGGGATGGTGTCCGATAGATAACATTTGAGCCAAAGCCCAAAGGGAGTGAAAAAGCAATTCATGCTGACATCTGGGGGAGCTTTGAGGTTGGAGTGGGGTCAGTGGGAGAAGACAGTGCAAGGTGGTGGGGAAGGTGGGTGGTAGGGAGTGGGTGCCCTTGGAGAGACTTTGCCATGTATCTAAGTGAGATCAGATGAACACCGGAAGATTCTAAAGAGTGTGAAAGTCTATTTATTTCCATTCTCACTCAGTGACATGGTAGTGTAGTCTACCTCTTCTAGATAAGGAAATTGAAGCTTAAGGAGGTTAAGTCACACGCCTAAGATCTCACAGCCAGTAACCAGTAACCAGAAAGTCTGGAAGTTAAACCCAGACACATGTAACTGCAGAGTCAGAGCTCTCAACCCCCATAGTGCCCTGCTACTGACTTATTCAACAGTCCTCAATAGAGGCCATTAGGCCCCTAATTCTCTAAGTGAACTGCTACTTAGTCAAGACTGAACAGGGCAATGGGCTACAGAATTACTTACTAAATACTGTCAAGGCTCACTCAGCAACAGACACCTCCCTTTGTAGGCAGTGGTTAGTCCTCTGATAAATCTGTCCTTGGTCAGCGACCAGCTTGCTACTTAACTGAAAGGAATCCCGATTGTCAACAGAAAATAAATCTGTTTGGCAACCTCAGTTCTCAGTCAGGCAGGCTAGCAATCAATATGCTTGGTGACTTTTTCCTTGGTCAGTTTGCTTATCATCCTTTGGGGACCTTGAATATGGTGCCCTTTTCTCAGAGAGGAGGGGGCCCACTGCAGTGGATTAATGGTATCCTTTTTAGGAACACTGTCGTGCCTAAATTACCTTCTGCCTAAAAGCAGAGATACAAACAAAGCCACGTGGGATAACATTCACGAAGTGCCTTAAGTCTTAAAGGAGTTTAAAAAATTTAAATATAAAGGAGTTAAAAAAAAATCCCTTTCAAACTGCCTTGGTGGAATGATTTCTCTTATTCCACCCCTCCCCCTGCCCCCACTGTATTGCAATACACTGAATGGAATGAATTTTCAAAGCACTGCAGGGAAGTTATGCCCACAAATCCCTTTACTAGTAATGGGATTTGTGTACCTATCTCCCAAGAATGCTCTGAAAAGTTACTTGTCTGTGTCTAACTTCCAGCTTGCAGCTTCCAAAATGGTTGCAAAGTTTCTGGCCCAGGAATGACACAGAAGAGGAAGAATGAGGCCCAGATAGGATACCAGAATCCTGACAGGACCAGCCGAAATGAGAGGGGGCTTTGGAGAAATGCACCTGAATTCACACCTCTATCTGCACTCTCTTAACTTCCAGCCATGGTGCTAAAACAGGGATTTTGTCTCTGCCTTCCTAATGCTTGTCCCTTGCAAAAGCAGGGAGGCTTTCTGTCCCCTCCTGCACGTCTGCCAAGAGAACAAGGTGACAGTTGCGTGAGGCAGCTCTGAGACCAGGGAGCAGCGTGTTCTGGAGACAAGAAGAATCCACATGGAGGGAACCAGCTCATTAATCTATTTTCATGACAGGCTCAGGATAGTACAGCAAGTGGGAAGTGGTATGAGATTAATCAATTCCTGTGTTTGGAGGAAACAAATGGGACCCCTTGCAGCTTCAGGATGCATGGGGCCCCCAAACTGGTGTGATTCCTACCCCTCGAGTCCCCTTACACTTGCCACTGTGTGCTGCAGGTGGTAACTCTGGACACTGTGGGGGTGTGGTGTCTGGTGTGCTCAGGTGACCTCTAACAAGGCCCTTTGCTCTCAGCATCACCAGGCGGATCAATATGTAAGACAGACACACATGCTCACAGCTACTGTCTTTTCCTTGTGCACAGTCTCCAGGAACGTACCCTGGAGGATTGGCGATGCTGGCCAGGCGTCCCACTGTCCACTGAGCCAGCTTATCCTCAGGCAGATAAACACATGCCTGGAGCCATTCGCCACACAGGGTATCATTTCCCACCCAGACGACTCCTTTCCTGCCGCTATTTTTCCCAGGAAAGAAATAAAATAAAAGCCTTTCTTTCTCTAAGAAAGGACCCATGTGATCAACATACCTTTAGAGAATGATAATATCAGTAGGTTTTATTCAGCAAATAAATCATGGTCTCGGATTTTAAGAGCTTTTGTGATAGCAAAACACATCCCTGCAATCCACACGCATACACCTAAACGCATCTTTCTTCTCCCTCAGAAGCTTGTCATTCAGTGTTGACAACCCAAACAGTATTTGTCTTTCTTTAAAGAACAGCACCCGGCAGCCCTGTTAAAGAGGGGGCCGGTCCACAAGACTACTTACTACAAAGGAAAGGTGATGCAGGCTGCACGCGGCATGCGGCCACTAGACTCATAGGAAGCAGACATTATGAATGTTTTAGAGGATAAGATGTCATATTGATTGGTAGATGTGCAGTGTATGCTGGAACAAAGAGGGGGAACTCTCCTGTGGAAAGTAGGCTTCGCAAGAAGCCATGGTGAGGGGCGTCAGGGAGGTGGCAGTTGGGGCATTGGCCATATTCCTAGGGCACGTTTCTTCCCTCGGCTGCAGCAAATGAAGAAATGAAGGATCTGGTCTTGCTTCCCTTGTGAGTCCCAGGGGCCCCCCCCCCCCCCCCCCATCAAACTGCTTCCAATGAACCCTCTGATCGAACTGTGGAGGCTACAGTCAAGCAGCCAGAAACGAATAGCAAAGCCAGGGGTGCCTTAGGAATGGGGTGAAGGAGGAACCATCCCCCTATCCTGGGTCTTTGAGACTCATTCCTGTCAGGGTTTAAATCCCCGTTCTGCTACTCATAAGCAGATGACCTTGTGCAAACTAATTGACCTCTCTGAGCTTCACTTTTCTTAGCTAGAAGAAAAAGTTAGCATTTTTATAAAGTACTGACTCAGTGCCTAACATCGTGTTAAGAGCTTTATACGCATTATCTTATTTACCCTTTACAAGAAGTCTAAAATAGGTACTATTATTCTTCCCATTTTACAGATGAGAGATGGGAGGCAGTATTGGAAATTTACCCATACAGACACGGCTGCTAGGTGGGGCAGGTGTTTATAGAACCAAGTGTACACTTTCGGCCACAAAGGGAAGAGGGTGATCAAACTGACC